CTTTTACCCTTCCGATTCTCTCCCCCATCCCACTGGGAGGGACTGAGCGAGTGGCTGTGTGGGGCTTAGTTGCCGGCCAGGTGTGACAGATGCACTCGACTCCTTGACCAAACTAGTGTTATTTTGGTTCAGGCTCCAAAGGAAGGCTAGGCCATGACCAGGCCAAGAACTTCTCTAGCACCAACCTGTTCTCTGAAAATCCACACAGGAACAGGGTGACACGGTGAGCATTGATGCGTATGAGCTTGGAAACTGGAACACTGATCATGCGATTCGCACATGAATAGCAGGTGGTTCTTCCAAGACTAATTTGTCAAGGAACAAAGAATGTTGTGGGTACAAGGAGTCTCATGCTTACCTTTTCCATCGCATGTAATTTGACTACGAGCCAACCACTTTATTCCATAAATATGAGAGCCTGAGCGAGCCTTTTTTGAGCTCTCCCTGCTAAGGAGCAGGCTGCACAGCGGTGATCTCCCCTTGAGCTGGGACGCCTCTCAAGGTTACTCCTTGAGGCTGAGAGACCCTTACCAACTGCAGATCTTTGGTACGTGACCAATATAGCGTATAATCTTGTATTATAGTGCACTAAGATTTTGTGTTGGTAACTTTGAATTATTATTATATCCTTTGTGCAGTAAATAATGGAGTGAACCTTGCCATCGGACTTTGTTAAGTCCCACTTTTACAACATCCTACTTCAGTAAAACTACTTTTGCTGCTACCTTTGGTGATCATTCTTTAAACGGTCTAAAAATCTCCCCCGCAACAAACTGGCGTAGTCGCCTCTGCGACACCCGGGTTAAACAACGATGCAAGTATAATTCTCTAATGTACAAAACAATGTAAAATATGAGGGTATGCTGATGGACATGCTTTCCATTTAAGCTGCCTACTGAAATCAAGGCCCACCATTGCCAGAGCCACTATATCCATCATCTTTCCCTGCCTACTTTTCCACGTCCCTGGATCACCTTTGTGTTCTGCCATTTGTACAGCTATACTGTAAACCAGACAGGGAAAACTCATCTGCCTTGGGGGAAGGAGAGATTCCTTATTTATTTCTTTTCCTGTATTTTTCAGATAGATCACTCTCTCATCAAAGAGGATTTGGCCACCCAAGGAAAAAGGTAACATTTGATCTGAGAGAGCAGAGCAATCCTTGCATGTCCAAGGAAGCAGGACAATGCTTAGAAGAGAGGCAAGACTACTTCCTGAATAATTTAAAAGGCGAGATATCTCAAGGACAGCGTATACATGTTAAATCTGCATAGAAGCCATGGACAACTCCAAAAGGGAATCTGACTAGAGAAGCCAGCATGCATCATCAAAACCAGTCTGATCAACACAAGCTGAAAAAAAGGAATTTTGCTTTCCTACATTTGCCAACACGGTCTTTGTCAGGAAAGTAGTTATAACAAATCATCCAGACACAGACAATCGTTTGTACTGAACCTCACTGCAAGGAGATAAGGCACGTTCCCTCCCCTCCAGCCTGTCATCATTTTATCACATCCGTTATGAACATCTGTAGCTTCATTGCCTTACTTGACACTGTAAAATTCAAGCACAACTATTTACTTAATTAACCTTGCTGAGTAAAGGGGAGTAAGGGGAAGAGCCTCCACACATTTCTTCAGAAGTGATTCAAAGCACAGGAAGTGGATTCACCTGGTCTCCATATTCAATCCACTGGCCTTGGTCATTCTTCCAATACCAAATCCACTGTGTGGTCAGTACAAATGTGGGTTTTGTGACTGATGATGGTGTAGAGAGGCGTCGAAGCGAAGAAGAAGAGCAGGTCATTGTCTGGAAATTAATGTTCATATTTGCTATGCTGTAAGGACAAATTCAGGTTTATTATAGTTAACAGTATATATTTTATCCTCTAATCCCCAGTTTAAGCTGGTGCAATTTTCTTTAATATAATGTGACTGTCTGAACTTAATTAGGCCTGAAATAAGAGTATTTCCCACAGCATGCATGGCAGCTCTGAAAACTGTTTCCAATCTTCAGAAGTGAACTATGGCCTGTGAGACACTGAATGCCATCTCAGTCGCTAGCCAGATGTGGCACTGCCAGCTTTACAGACAGTCTGGGGCTACATGTACAATGTGGCAAAAGGTATTTCTGCAATAAATAAGCACGGTTACAGTTTTTCTCAGCACAAAAATGGAAGTTCGCAAGTACATGACTAAGTTTGCCAGCAAACACCTGCAGTTTATCAACTTTGTTGTTTTTCTGTGGTTACAGAGGATGCAATCACAGCTGTGAGCTCTGTAAATAGCATTCATCACTGGAGCCACATGGGCTTTTATTCCTAGGAGGCTTGAAAAATTAACTCTCAGGCAGAAGGACTTTGAAAGCAGCCTCCTCTTGGGAATCTTCCTTGTGATTTGCACCATCCAGCAGCCTAGTCAAGCTGCAAATCAAAATCACCTGCTGTCTGAAGAGGCATGGGCCAAAATGACTATACCACTTCATTGAGGCCAAACCTGGGGTCCCCTATGAATCCAGGTGGCTTACAGTGAGGCTTTCAGAAAGGAGTTAAAGGGAAATTGCACTCTCTTAAAAAAAAAAAAAAAAGAAAAAAGAAAAAAAAGAAAAGATGGGCTGCTTACACAAAGGGCATTTTATAAAATTCCTCTAGGCACATTATAGATATTATTATATTATTATTATAGATACTAGCTGCATTAGGAAAGGAATAGCCAGAGAGAAGGACCAGCTCTGAACTGTTGTTAGAAGGCCCAATTATTATAAATAAATTATGACTCATTATCTGAAATACTAATATTCTAAGCACTAAATTCCACCCACCTCTTTTTATCCTGTATAGAGTTTTAAATGCAAGATATCGTTGTGTTACTTTTAGAAGACAAAAATGGGGTGATATTTCCATGCAATCACTTTTACTTTTCTTTTTAAAAAGAAGAAAAATCTCATTTGTACATCCTCCCAGATTCTGAGAGGCTCAGTAATCAGAAGTTATGGAAGTCAGACATCTTTAGGAAGAAAAGAAGAGTTTTTCCTCAGGGGCTCAACCACAGTACTCTAAGCAAGCAGTCCAGCGTCATTATACCTGCTGTTTTTTGGGTCACAATAGGCCTTTTCAATTTCCTCCATCATGGAAAGGTCATTCCAGGTGATCCCATTATATACTTGCCATCGATACGGCAAATGGTAATGAATAAATCTGCATTTATCTGTAATAAGATCAGACATAGTGAAGAGCTCTGCAATCATAACAGAGAGCGAGACAAGAAGGAAAAAAAAAAGGAACAAGCATTTTTTACATTCTGGCTTTATCTCCTGGGCTTTGGTATGAGCAATAAAGACAGACTGCTGAAAATAAAAATATGTTTGAACAATAGGGGTGTGTGTTTCTCCAGTCTCATCTAGAAAAGCAACATAAGCTCTCATACTGCCAAATATATTTCAAAGAAACCACAACCCTTTGCTGATACATGACATTGACAGCTAGGAGAGCAGTGCCACAGCTAGGAGAGCAGTGCCACAGCTAGGAGAGCAGTGCCACAGCTAGGAAGTGTGTGTCTGTGTGTCACACCACGTTTCTCGGCTGTAAAAAGTCTAGTCTACACATCACATAAGCACCCCGATGTACTTGGTTCTCTCTTTCCCTTAGTGCCTTAGAGCTTGTGGGGTGGTTACCAAGGCCTGAATGTTTTTTTTAGGCCCAGCCCAACGAACGAGGCAGCATAAAAGACTGCAATACTCCACAGAACATTCCCCAGGAGGGACCCTACACTCACCCCTGAACAGGCAGCACGCTGCCCTGCTAACAAGACTGCTAGGCACTGTTGGAATTGTTGCTTCGCTTCTCAGAAAACGGGAAGCAGCAACTTTTAACTGCCTTGCATGCAAGACCTGCAGCAGTGCTATATACCCGTCACACAGGAAGAGGAAGACTTCTGTGGTTTTTTTAAATCATCTGTGTTTTCAACGCACGTACGTCTGCATGTTTGAGTACAGACCTGCTTAACACCCCTGCGTGAGTGCATGCTGCTGGATACAGGCAGAGGCTGACCTCCAGGCCTTCCTGCTGGGGGAAGCTGATGTATACTCCACATCTGAGTATGGACCAAACCTCTTATTTACAACTTTTGAGCCAAACATGGCATGGCAAAGCACACTAACTCTCCAACCATTATTTGAGTTTAGCTGTTTGGTGGTCACAGTATAGCTGCTTTGAGCCTGACCTCCACAGCTAGCACATGGGTACACCACTCACATTATGCAGGTCCAAAAGGTCATAAACTTAAGCCTCAAGCCTGGTCCTAAAGAAGCAGAGTCTGAGAAATGTGATACAAGGCTGGAGTAGCCGCTGCACAGACAGAGCCAAAAGGAGTTTCACCATTCCTGACCCCTGATGTATCTGACCACAGAACATATGGAAACTAACCCCAGTTATGAAGTCAACAGTGTCATTCACTCCTTTCTTCCTTCTTTTTGTTAACAGTGCACCTTGTCTTGAAAGCACTGTGCTTAAATTAACTTGAAAAGCTGTAGACAAAACCACACTTAGTCTCTCTTGGCCAGATTTCATTTCCGTGATCCATAAAATACCCATAAAAGAGATAATTTATTTTTTAATAAGTACTGTCTCTCTTCAAAGTAACGGTCAAGAAGAGGTATTATCAAGCCCTAAAGTAACTTACTCATCTGCCTCTCAGAAAAGGAGCTTCTGATGGGAGAACTGCATCTTTACCAGAACACAAACCCACTACAGAAATGCTAAATGCACACAAACATCTCAGACCAGTTATCAGGCAACTTATTGTCCACATCCTAAGCAAAAGCAAACACAGTCTGATCTAATTTAAGTGGATCTTTTACCAAGACCAGGAGGTCAGAAAAGGAGTAGTCCTTTAGAAAGTGACTGGACAAGTTCACGGAAAGAAAATCTCATGGTACCTCCTCATAACCAAGGAAGAGCCTAACCTGGGGGTTCAGCGACCGTTCGGGGACAGCCCCCGAATACAGTTGTTTATACTTATATTTTCCCCCAGACCCCTGTTATTGGCCACTGCCAGATAGACGGACTAGATTTATCTTTAGCTTAGCTGGTACAACTATTGTGTTTTCTTAAGGTGTTGTAACACCCTAGATCACTTTTTAAAGGACTTAATGGGGGAGAATATGGCTATTACATAGGATACAGCAGGAATAAAGGATGACATATTGTTATCAGTTGTCAATGACGACAGCATAAGGCCGGCTCTTAAATTGATCTAATAGTTACAGAAAGTGTAACATTTAATACCTGAAAGGTTTTTGCCACAAAAACATACCCAAAACCTGCCCCCATCAACAGGACTGAAATAGGCCATAGATGGATCATCTAGAGGAGAAAGGGTTTAAGTGTATCCACTTGACTTTCCTCTGATTACGTTTGTAATTCTGACAGTGTTTATTAGTGACTTGGAAACAAAGCGAACGAGTGAGAAGGCACAATCGCCACTACCACTCCATATGCCACCACTAGTCTGAGCCATTGAGTGGGGAGTGCCTCTGCAGATGCTGCTCTCAAGATTACTTTTTATAAAGCTTACCTTTATTTTTGCAGTACTTCCAGACATAGAACACACATAGCTCATCACATGTATCTTCTTTGTTGTCCTTCGAATCTTTAGCAGAGGAATCGTCTTTTTTATCTACAGGAAAGAACACATCAGTCCTTATTTGCCCTACTAAAATACAACTCTAAGAGAAAGACACTGCAATTGGTATTTCATCCCAGAAATAACAAAGAGCTGACTGCAGTAGCCAAGTCAAGCACTTTCAGGATCTGACTATCCCCTGTACAGCCCACCGCATGAGTTAGGGCTTTGTGACTGACCAATACACCCCTACAATGGAAGGCAGCTCAGTGGAGATGGCCAAGGGTGATGCCATGAAGCTCAGAGTAACGCAGGGTTGCAAAGAAGCTGACTTTGTCTCAACACAAAGGGGACCAGAGGGTGGCCTTGGCTGTAGATAAATGGCTATGTCAGCTGAGTGGATCAACTGGTGGTATAAGTGTTTCTCCCTGAGTTAGCCAGATCGGCATGGGGGCAGTGAGTACGGGGCTCAGCCCAACACAGCAGTATAAGAACTAAACAACTAACAAAAGAATTTTGAAGAGAGCAACAGGCTTGAGCTGGCTTCAACCCACGTATTCCTTCCCAGAGATTGGGGACACCCAGCGTTGTGACGGTGAGCACATTACCAATGTGATTCCCATTACAGTTCAGTCACAATATACAGATCTATGTATTGCAATGGCTATGTTTTGGTAAGCTTAACTTTTGTATTGTGTTTTCAATGTATTTTGCATCACTCTGCTACATCAGAAATGTCATTGTACTGGGCCTGGCTAGGACAGGGTTAATCTTCTTCATAGCAGCTCATATGATGTTGTGTTTTAGATTTTTGACCAAAGCAATGCTGATAACACTGATGCCCTAGCTTTTGCTGAACAGTGTTTGCACAGCAGCAAGGCCTTCTCTGTTTCTCACTCTGTCCCCCCAGCGAATAGACTGGGGAGTGCACAATAGGTTGGGAGGGGACACAACCGGGCAGAGGACCCAAACTAACCAAAGAAATATTCCATACCATATAACGTTATGCTCAGCAATAAAAGGGAAAAGAGGGAGTTTTAGGAGGGTTAGCCATCTTTTACTCGGGAACTGGCTAGGCATCAGCCTGCCTGTGGGACGTGATGAGTGATTCTGTTTGCCTCACTTGCTTTGCTTTGTTTTCTTCTTCCTTCTTCCACTTACCCTTTGCTTCCCCCTGTCCTGGTTTCGGCAGGGATAGAGTTAATTTCCTTTCTAGTAGCTGGTACAGTGTTTTGGATTTAGGATGAGAACAAAGTTGATAACGCACCGATGTTTTAGTTGTTGCTAGGTAATGCTTACACTAGCCAAGGACTTTTCAGCTTCCCATGCTCTACCGACTGAGAAGGCTGGAGGTGCACAAGAAGCTGGGAGGGGGCACAGCCAAACTGGCCAAAGAAA